AAGAAGTAGAAAACACGCTCAAACAAGTTTGAAATTAAGGGTGTGTTTGATTATCAATATTTTTTATGAAAAATATATTTTTTTAACCAAAATTACTACTTCTGTGTTGTTTAATTGACAATTTCTTTCATGAAAAATATTTTTCTACTTTTAGTCACGTGATCATATTTTCCTTAAAATCAAGGAAAATATTTTCTTTAGGTGGAATGGGATTTTATTTTCCACGGAATTCACTTTCTCTCTCTCATCTATCTACCAATATAAAATCGACAAGTATTTTCTAGGTTGAAAAATAAATAAATCAAACACATTTAATTGACAATTACCTAAAATTTATTTTATTTCCATACAAATTTCATGCTTACAATCAAACGTACTCCAAAATTTTGCCCCAATTTGTATTTTGAACTCTTTACTCATTTTCAATCACAATTTTGCAAATAAATCTAAATTTTTTCTTACTTTTAACCACACACATTCCTAAAACTCACTATTTAAAACATTATTATTTTTTTCCAAATAATGGTCATCATGCTCTTGGTTGATAAATCACTTAGGACGTGCTTGGGGGTTCTGGGTACCCATTCTGAGTTTTTTTTTTTATTATCAATTTTGGGCATTTAAGAGGGGCTCGATTTTTATGATTTTTAGTAGTTATTTCTAAATCAGTCCAATAAATACTTGAGATTTTATTATTTAACAATTTCTTAAAGTTTTTTAAACAAATAAAATTATGTGTGTATATAATATGAAGTAAATGGGGTTAATTTCATAAACGGTCACTGAACTATAGAGAAAATTACAAAACGGTCACTGAAGTTTAAAACTTTCAGTAACGGTCACTTAATTTTGGGGTGCTTTAAAAAATGGTCACTGAAATTTAAAAACTTACAAAAACAGTCACTAAAGTTTAAAAACTTTCAGAAATGGTCACTGAAGTTTAAAAACTTTCAGAAACGCCCACTGAAGTTTTTTTTCCAATTTTTTGGGCTACTTTTGCAACAACTTTTCTATCATTTTCGACTACCGATACCACCAAATTTTGATATCGTTGAAAAGACCACAATGTCCTATTCCATTACTACCCAAAATCTCCCCGTAAATCCAAGAAATTAGACCGAAAAATCGCCACAAAAATCTGCCAAAATCTTCAGATTTTTGGCAATTTTTGTGGCGATTCCGACCACCAAACCGGCTAATTTTGGATGGTAATTGAAGAGGAGATTGTAGGCTTTCCAACGGTATCGAAATCCAACAAAATTGACGGTCGGAAGTTGCCAGAAAGTTGTCGCAAAAGTAGCAAAAAAAACTGAAAAATTTGCCCAGATTTTTGCCTTTTCTGGTAACCAATTTTGTGGGTTTATTCCGGCCAAATACTTTGGAGTTTGGGGGAGATTTTTCATGGTAATTGAAGAGGACATTGTAGGCTTTCCAACAATATCAAAATCTGATGGTATTGGTGGCCAGAAGTTGCCGGAACGTTGCCTCAAAGTAACCCACAAAATCTGAAAAATTTGCCTAGATTTTTGCCTTTTCGGGTATCGAACTTTGTGGTTTATTTCGGCCGAATCCTTTGGATTTTGGGGGAGATTTTTTATGATAATTGAAGAGGACATTCTAAGCTTTCTAACGGTATCAAAATCCAGTGGCATTGGTGGTCGGAAGTTGTCGGAAAATTGCCTCAAAAGTAGCCTAAAAAATCAGCCCACATTTTTGCCTTTTTGGGTAGCCAACTTTGTGAGTTTATTCCGGCCAATCCTTTGGAGTTTGGGAGATATTTTGAATGGTAATTTAAGAGAACATTGTGGGATTTTCAACGGTATCAAAATTTGGCAATTTTGGTGGTCGGAAGTCATCGAAAAATCGCCGCAAAATTGGCCCAAAAAATCTGAAAATTTGGACAGATTTTTTGATTTTTTGGGCGAATTTTGCAATGATTTTTTGGTCGATTCCCTTGGAATTATGGGGATATTTTGGGTGGTAATTGAAGAGGACATTGTGATCTTTCCAACGGTATCAAAATTTGACGGTATCGGTGATCGTAAGTGGCCGAAAAATTGCTGCAAAAGTTGCCCAAAAAATTGAAATTTCAGTGACCATTTCTGAAAGTTTTTAAACTTCAGTGACCATTTTTGAAAGCGCCTGGAAGCTTAAGTGACCGTTACTGAAAGTTTTAAACTTCAGTGACCGTTTTGTAATTTTTGCCTAAGTTCAGTGACCATTTGTGAAATTTACCCGAAGTAAATGTTTAGGTGATTCTTTACAATTCAATATAATTTTATATAGTTTATCCAATCATTTTCTAGTGTATATTGCTAACATTTGGACTAATTATAATTATCAAAGAAATGGGGCATTCTACGCGTTTGGAGAGGATTTATTTGAAAGCTTCATTCATTTTTGGAGTAAATTTGGAAATTAGAGTGTGTTTGATTGACAAGGAAAATATCACCTAGAAAAGAAAATATTTTCCATCTTTTGTGGAAAATAAAAACCACCTCTACTCAAGGAAAATATTTTCCTTAAAAACAAGGAAAATTAGGCATATTTTCAAAAGTTGAAAAATGTTTTCCATGGAAAAAAATAGCAATCAAACACTTCAAGTAGGAATTTGGGTGGAAAACTGATATTTTCCATGGAAAATAAATGTAATCAAACACACCCTTATTGTTTTACGCTGTGAAATTTGAAGAAATTTTGAAAAAGGCAAAAATGGTTGACTTTTTGTGTTGAGAAATACTGAATACTGCCCAAATACACTTAATAGTGTCCCAAAAAATTGACAAGCACTGATTTTTTCAACATCTCACAAACAATGCCACTCAAAATCAGTAAATACCATTGGAATAAAAACTTCTAAGCAAGTCCTTACCTTATAATTAATAGATTACTTCTGTATTAAGTTACTTATTCATGGCTTGGCTCGTTTGGTTAGCCAATCTTTCAAAATCAGGGCAATAATCCGTGTGATGCATGTACCTCTAGTTGATCTGTAACTGGATGAGAACTTTCATTTTGAGGCTTGTGGGTTCTGACCTCATAGTATGTCGGCTGGCAACCCCTGCCTCTTGATAGTCGTGGCTAAGGTCTGCCTCATTGTAGACTAGAGGTGCCTCAAGAGCAAGGTCGTATAACTTTGTCCCGAAGTGGGGTAAGCTTATTGATTATGAGATAATGCTTCTTGTACATCAAATGATGTTCATCCTCCTCACATGAAGGGAGTCCTACTCTGAATNAGAAATAGATGTATAAAGGTGATTGAGTAGATAGATTAGTGATATCTCACTTTAAATGCTCATGTAAAGTCTCATATTGAATGCAAAGTGATCTAGTATTTATAGCAACAAAAAGGGCCAAAAGTTCTGTTCTGCCGGACAAAGCTATCGGACGTCTGCTATCTTACCAGACGGTCAACTAACCGTTTTTTGTTCAGAAATCAGAACGTTCGATTTCTTGACCGTTGGACAAACCTGTCATACCGGACATCCACTAGAATTACCGGACTCGTCCGCTAGACCTACCGGATGCGTCCTCTAGATCAGCATATTTTTGGATTTTTCCTTTTTTAAATAATGTAGCAAAATGTAAATTCATGAAGGATGTTTCTAACATATTTTACGAACTTTTTGACATGTCTAAAAGTATGTAATAGGTTCATGCTTTTCTTTATGCAAAAATCGTGTTTGTCGTGCGAAGAAACATTTCTTGAGTTTTAAATGACGTATATGCCAAATAATAAAGTGTTTTACCTTAACATTTGAAATCGAGGTATCTAAATTTATTTTCTTCTGATTTCTTCTTTGTTTGACTTGAAGTGATCTTTGTCTTGATGTGTAGCTTGGTTTCTACTTTGTTCAAATTTGCGAGAGCTCCGAAAGCATTCTTTTGTCCACGCTTGTCGTAAACTTTTATAATTACTTAAATACAATTGTTAAATAAAATATGTTTCTTATAATCAAAAAGAGAAGTCAACCATATGTCAACATAAAATATTTATAATTGACAATGTACGAGTGACATTTTTCTGAAATATTGAGATCGGAGTGTTATGATCTTCAATAGCAAGTAAAGTATAACATTAATAATAATGTGCTTCTTTAAGAGCAATACTATTTTATAATGGACATATATACGAGTTTTAAATTCATAAAGTATACTCGTATTAAAGAAAACAATAACGATATAATTAATTGATTACGGTGATTGGATATGCACAATTGTAATTGCTTATTCTATTGTACCATGATTAGACATGCACAATTTGGTGGTTGGATTTCAAAAATTTGCACACAAACAACTGGGTAGAAACAAATTTGCTATGCAAAAATGAAAATTAATTGGCAGAAATTAATATATGAAAATTAATTATGCATGCAAGCTACAATAAAAAAGAAACGTGCATGATTTGAAATTGGTTATATACCTTCAAACTAATTTGTTACAATTTTTAGAAAATCATGTTAACGTGTTATAAATTATAGAGAAATCTGCGTCAATAGACTTCATTGATAATCAAGATCCATATTTATAGGATTCATGAGAGTTACAATTGGAATGAAATAGATATTCTAAACCAGATAAAACTTATCCATATATATCATAATAACACTAAATAATCACCATCTCATTATTTTACAATAAAAATATCATTTTTACACAATAATGACCATCAAATGAGGGCTAAATTACCAATCCAGTACTGGTCTATGTATATTGATCAACAAGAACCACCATCACTAAAATCTTTATCTACCATTTTAAAATTTATTTGATTAAGACCCAAGACATGTTTTTATGTTTTTCGAAATAGTCCTTAAGCTCAGTAAATTTGTCGCTTGAACCCCCCTTATACCACAATACACCAACAAAATTTTACCAAATCCTTACTTCCATATGGAAAATGATTGCAAATTTGTCATCTACAGCTAGTAATGAACATTCATAAACACCTATTCAATAAAATTTAGATGACAAGTGTATTAGTGCATCAGAGGACATCAGAGGACAAAATTATAGCTACTTTATATAAATCCACTACGCTGCTACAAAAACCCGAAATAGCTATATCATTCGTGTAGCACCATGACAAAGATTATTGAACTGTACACCACAGTAATATTCCTTTAGCATACAAAAAGATGGAAACAGCAATAAAAATCGAACGACATCACCAAGACATTGCGAGCAGTTAACCCAATTGTCGTCGTGTATATATAAACTTAACTCCCTAATGAAATAACATCTAATGCTGCGTGTTTTTTTCCTATATCCTTCAACATTGCTTTCATATCAATGCTAACACAGTCTTCGTTAACTAGATAGTTGATTTTTTTCTTACGGAGAGATCTCAATATTGTAGTATGTCACCGGTGTTTAGTAACTGAAGCAGAAGCATGAACATCGGTTGCTCTGGAAGATCGTTTTCTTGATTACACCACTCCTTTACCTGAATCAGTCAATACTGTTTTCACCTGTAGTACTTGATCAAATTAAACTAGTGGAAATCCTTGTAAAAGAATTTAGTACCCATTTCAATATAATACCTTTTGCGTTTTCCTTTGATGGTTGTAGAAGAAGAAGGATTACTGTGCCAGTTTCGCTTCCTTTGATTAATGAACCAGTTGTTTATCTGCTTCAATTGCAATCCCGTTTCCTGTACCAATCTTGCCTTATCTTCTTCCTGGAAGGTGCAAATTAACCACGATGGTTTAATTAAGAGACTCAGGTAAAAGAACTCTCCAATTAAAAAAAAAACTAATGCAGACCAGTTTAAGAACTTCAGCAGAACTAAAATCCCTAAGATAAATGAACTTATACGGTCCTACATCATTTATAGCTAGTATTACCAATTTGGTTAATGTCTACCAAAGAACAAGATAAAGTCAAATTTTGAGACTTACTGTTGGGTATGGCCACTTGGAATGTGATAGCCACCAAGCTTTTAACACTGAGGTTGTATCCCCGGGGAGTTTTCCTGCCCTTCTCTTGCGTAAAATTTCCTCTCTAATGTCCACAATCTTTTCCTTGTAACCCTGTTAGGTGAAGGAAAAAAATGAAAGGATTGGTTGAATGAACATGGATAAATGCATTTTGACAAAAGTCGAGTGCGTAACCTGTTTTAACTCGTGCTTTAGCTCTTGCCTGACACGCTCCATCAATGATCTTTCGCTCTCTGTCGGTACCAGCGGACCAAATCCCATACTATCAGGACCATCAAAACTTGCATCAAACAAGTTTGCATCGCTTTCTACCTGGTCATCATCATCATCCGACATCGTGGCACCTGTCCCATCTCCTGGCGAAACTCCTGTTCAAAGTGGCATCTAATGTTAAACTTCTAGCTTTAAGAGCAACGAGGCCCAAATTACTTTTTCATGGTAAATGAGGAGCTACATGGATTAAATATATTAGATTGACAAGTATATCAATGTGCAAAAGCCTGTACTTATTATTAATATGGGTAAACATGTCACGACATCAAATAAATCACAAGCATAAAAGGGTACTACTGCTGCCCAAGACTCTAGAGTAGTTTGGGATGCAATTAATAATTTATGTGGAAGCAGCACTAAGAAAGAGTAGATACTACAATTAAAAATTCATTTTGACCACCTTTAACATGGACCAATTAGTAATTTTCCATGATCGACATGAGAATACAATCATATTCAACAATATTGCTGGTCAAGGTCTGAAAAGTTATGAAACTCCAATATAGCTGCTTAACAGTACCAATAGAAGCTACTGATTCTGAAAAGTTGGTGTACTAATGGGCAAAGTTTTGAAACAAACCTCTTTGGACAGCCAAAGAAATAGCAAGCCTAACCTGTTAAACTTTGTAATGATTGTTCAATCTCCCAGCAAGCCATAACGGCTTCCATTGCATGAACGCGCACATGCTGCTGTAGTTGCTCTTTGAATGAACATAGAAGCAAGACATAATGTGTCTACATAAGAAAAACAAAAGATAAGCAAATGTTAATTGGAACACAGAAGATGAGAAGCTCAACAACACACTACACATTGATGTAAAATAGGTCTAGGGAAAAGTTAGTCAAGCAATTCAAATTTCATGGAAGACATTAGTAACATTTGTTGTGCAGGTTGGCTCTAACATGCAAGAGTCAAGTTAAACCATTAACAACTATCAATATTCCCTGTACGCTACTTGGGTTGGGGGTGGGATGAGGGCAGAAGGATAAAGAGGTATAAAGAACCACACAGGGGTGTGGGGGGGGGGGGGGTGTTGTGCACATCTAGACATGCATAAAAGTCTTTTCTTTGCACCTACAAAGTGTAAACAATAATAAACTCCACAGAAAATTGTGCATATTCCTTAGTTTACCCTGCCATAATATCACGTAGTTTATCAAGAAACAGTATTCTGCCAGATGAAAGTATAAAATTACAGAAAATTCAAACCCAGAGTCCACACAACTATAGCCAGAATTAGATGGCTTAGTATTGTCCCTTTCAAGTTCTACATAGTTCACTTCAGTTTATCAGGGCATCTGCTGCAATGGCAAAGCAGGCAAGTAAATCCAATTTTGATTGTAAATGATCTCTCGAGAGCCCAACTGCCTGGTTTCCCCGTGAATGGAGCAGTTTATGGAAACTAAAATCTTACCATCTCTAGATACAAACTCTCTACAAACGGAACCATTTAAGAAACACAGAAATTATAGTATATTGAGTAAACTAAAAACTGAATCATCAACTTCTATAGGAACAAAAGCAGAAACCTGAAGGACACAACAGAAACATCTTTACGAAGTCAACTTCCTAAGATAAAACATTTTTGCACCTTCACTTTTCTAGAAAAACTATGCATCTCAACATGTGCCTGGAGCAAAATTACCAAATTACACTATCAATTGAGATGACTGGTAACTGCGAAGATGTGACTATGTCTCATTAGCATAGCATGTTCGTGTCTGATACGTGTCGATGCCGACATCCTCGGAGACTCTACCATAAACATTTTCTACTATTTATCAAAAATATTATATATTTTTAACTCAAACTTATTACTAAATAACAAATAGGTACTCATATTTAAAATATTTTCACAAAAAAAAAAAAGTGTAATACTAAATTTCTACTACATAAATGAAGATCTTTAAAGATTTGAATCAATGTGTTGGTGACGTGTCCGTACTTTTTTGAAAAATCATGTGTCGGCGTATTCGACACGTATCGTGTCGGACACGCGTGCATCATAGTCTGGAAGGATCAACCATGCATGAACTCCATTTTCTCTAGAAAATTCTTATGAGCAAGTTCAAAGTCCACTACAATGGTCTCTCTACCAGATTCTGTCTAAGTCACTCTTCACGTCGTGGGAGTTGGAAAATGTTTTCTTGTGGGAAACTACATAAGAACTTTCATTGATTCATTCAGTAGTTGCTGATCATTAGAATAATCCCCATTTAACTAGAAATTTGTTATCTTTTATGGAGAAGCACCCCACCTTTAACAATCACAATATAATAACAATGACAAGATTTGAGATGTTCATACTTATTTCTTATTCACATTGGAACACAATCGACTTCAGTTAACACCCCATATCGAGAATTATGCCCTTGTGAATAAGAAAATACGTTATTTCCTTATATATCTTTTACAAGGC